CCTTGTTGTTGTTTATATTATTTTCCGTATTCATTTTGGGGTCGACGAGGAGGAAGTCTTTTTCTAAATGTTATGAATCTTTTGAAAATAAGTGTTGGATCTGTTTTTTTAAATTGCCAATAACTCATGAATTTTTTTTTTCCAGATAAAGGACAGGAAGGTCACATCATTGACATTTTTTCCTGCTCTGATCATCATCTGTCATCTGATGATTCCTTTGGACTGGAGAAACTCAAGACAGATGTCCATCCACAGCTTGTTCTTTTGGAACGTATCTCTGGGATGGGGCATGAGGATGATACATCACTGTGACAAATTGAATCTGTGCATGGTTTCAAGGTTGTTCATGCACAAACCTGGTTCAAAATTAACAGGCATTTGTCCACCAAAGATGCTTGGCACGAGAATGTTTGGCGCAATGTGTTCCTAATGGCAGAGCAGAATCAGAGCAGGTGATAGAGGAGTATACAGAGATTCAGAAAGCATTCATACAACATGTCCGGGGTGACCATTTATCAGGTTTGCATAGCATCCAGGGGTTTCCCAGGATGCGGGACTTGCGGTGATTAACAGGGAGAGTTATGCACAAACTGAGATGAGGCAGTCATTTTAGTGTAGCCTCGTTTAGCACTACTCAGAGATTTCAAGTCATTAAATAAAATTATTTTCTTTCCTGTATTTTATCAACAGCATATTGACAAATTTGTGGAGGGGAAAATTTACATGCATAGTCATATATCCATCAAAATAACGGTTTTATTCATCTCATAATAATCTTTTTATATTTAAAATTTTGGTTGCCACAATACACTCCTACGTCCTCCACTACAATGTTGCATGTGACCGAGAACTGGGTGTCCTTATATTCTTCATATAGTATATTTCACAGTTAAATATGACACTTTCAGTCTTTTCTTTGTAGCAATTTTTTCTTCCTCATTTGTTAAGGTTGTCTATCTTTAAAAATGTGTTGACTTTTGTAAAAGACTTTTTCTTCACAGATTGAGGCAGTTTAAAGATTATTTAACCCTGTAAAGTATATTTGAATAAAAGCATTTACTTAATATTGCAATTTTAGACCAACTTTGCATTTCTGAAAATAAGCCCATTTGGGTTATTATGGCACTGGATTTGACTCATTTATATATTATTTAGGATATATACTGAATTTGCATCCCACAAATTTATTTCCCCGTTTTCACTGTTTTTCTTTCCATCTTCTCTAATCAAGTCAATTTTAAATGAGCCCAAATTCCCTACTCTCCTATGATCCAATTTGGTCTTGATGTGGCTGTCTGTACTAATGTTCCCTAAGGCATACCCGTGCCCTAACATACACTAGCAGTGTTATTGCAGAGGGTGGTATGGAATTGTCCCAGTGATCTATTTCTGGTACACACCCATCATGGCAGAAATTCCAGGAAAATGATTTTGCCAAATTGCTGAGCTTTGTTATGTACTTAAAAAAAAAGATAACAAACTCCAGAGCAATTTTCTCAAATTAATGCTTTGTTATTTCTAAACAATATCATGTTGCTCTGGAGAACATAGGTGAAGAAGTGACTTTAAACTCAAATGATAAGAGGAACTTCCTTGCAGGATAAGGGAGCATGGGCTCAGCCCACTGAAAAGCTGAGAGAAAAGTGTCATTGGGAAGCACAGTCAAGAAGATGGTGGTATCAAGTTGTCCCCAGATCAACTGAGACATAAAATAAAAGAGCCCCTGTGATTCTTTGAAGAAAGACATACTACTCTGGGTATCACAAACAGACAAATAGACTGGAGAAAATAAAGACCCTCAGTTACAAGAAAAATGATTATGCTTATGTGATATGTGATAACATAATTAGCTCTTAAATGTCATGTAAGGCAGGAAAAAAATGAAAGTTTACACTAGCAATTAAGAAATATCACATTTTTGGCAGTAAACTCAGTAGCCACAAGATAAGAACATAGGAGAGATTAGATTACCCTGAGAAAGAGGAAATTAAAGTGGTCAGGATTAGAAGAAATCACATTATCCTGGTTAAGGATTTTGTGATATCAAATGTGCATTTCTCAAAGGCAGTGGGATGGTCCCTCACAGAAGTCAGTCTTTGGGGGCACAATGGAATAGATGTTAGTGCCCTGTTAGCAAATCACAGACAAGAGTATGGTTCCTTGATATTCCAGTTCCTTAGGCAAAACCAAGAATTTTTTTTCTCATTGCCAAGATGTCAAAAACAGAAGAATACTATTCCAACATGGCAATAAATGCAATAATAAAATATTGTATTTGGATACTATTAAAACAGACTAAAGTCATTGACAAGGATGTGGAGAAATAGGAGTCCCACTATGCTGGAGGAAATGTAAAATGGTGCAGGAGAATGAGAAAACAGTATGGAGGGACTTCATAAAAGCAGGCACAGAGACACCATAAGATCCAGCAGCCCCGTTTCAGGGAGTTTAGGTAAAAAAAAAATGAAATCAGAATCTTGAAGACATTACATTCCAGTGTTCATGGCAGAACAATTAAAGACAGCCAAGCCATGGAAGGAACCCAAATGTCCTCTGAGTGACAGTGGATCTAGAAAATGTGTCACAAACATACAATGGAATACTAGTCATATATAAAAGAGAAGGAAATCCTCCCCCTTGTACTAATATGCATGACAAGAATTCTAATGATACCGTTGCAGACAAATTGCTGAGTTTCATTATGGAACTGGACCCATGTGAATAAAGTCCAGAGCAATATACTAAAAATTGATACTGGTTGCTTTTACACCACATGGTATTATCCTGGAGAACATGAGTGAAGTAGGGCCTTTAGCCCTTAACTCAAATGATAAAAAGAGGAGCTTACCTGCAGGTTAAGTAAGCATTACCTCAACCCACTTTGATGCTGGGAGAAAAGTTTCATTGGGAAACATGATCAAGAAGCAGGTGGTATCAGATTGTCACCCAATCAAATGACACATAAAACAGGAGAGTTCCTGTGACTTCTGGAACACAGAACTTTCAGCAGGATTATAACTCTGCCTGGAAGATTTAGAGGCTCAAAAGTATTGAATCAGAAGCCTGATGTGTCAAAAATATATTTGGACTTGTATGACATGTTAATATCTTAATAGTCTGCAAACATTACATCAAAGAGGAACTCAAGGAAAGTTCGCATGAACAAATCAGAAGCATCCCATTTGAGCTGAACACTCAGGTGCCACAAGACAGGAAAATAAGAAAGATGGGAAAGTATAATTTCAAAGTGACACTAGTAGGAGCACATTTATTGCAAAGGCACCTCAAGCAGAAAAAAGTAGCTTCCAGATTAGAAGCATTTACTCTAGCCTGGTTGGGGATTTTGTGAGAATAAATATATATATTTTTTGGAAAGCATTGGAGTGGTCCACTAAGGAGGTTTGGAGGCTTGGGGGCATTGGATTGGAAGAAATGGAAAAGATGGCAGTGTCCAGCATCTCATGGGACAGGGGAAAGACATTGCACCCTAATCTTGTAGTTTCATAGGCAAGACGAAGAATTTTGTCCTGCATGAGATGTTGGTAAACAATGCATGTCATCCTAAAATTGCAATTGTTGTGCATCAGAATATTGTGTCTGTCTATGCTAGAAAGTACCCAATGGAGTCAGGGTTTTTACAAGGATGTGAAGAAATTGAAAGCCTGTTATATTGGAGGGAATGTCAAATGGTGCAGGGACCATTGAAATTAGTATGGCATTTTCTCATAAAATCAAACACAGAAATGCCGTATGACCCAGCAACCCTACCTCCAGGTGCTTGTTTGAAAGAATGAAATCAGAAACTTAGGGAGGCGTCAGTACTCTCACGTTCATGGCAGTACTATGAATAATAGCCACATTGTGGAAGCCAGCACACCTGTCAGCTGATGGATGAATGGCTCAAGAGCTTTTGCCAGACACCTACAATGGAATAGTGCTCAGCCTTAGAGAAGAAGAAAATCCTCCCCCTTGTACTAACGTGATTGAAACCTAAGATTCTCTCCTAAATGAACTAAGCTGGTCACAGAAGGCTATACACTAAAATATTGCACCTTTATGAGGCATGTAAAAGAGTGAAACTCACATAAAGAAAGAATGGAGTTGTGGTTTCAGAGGGTGAAGGTAAGTTGAGGCAGGGAGCAGAAAAGCAATAGGTGTGACATTCAGATTTATTTTTTGGTTCTGAGGATCAAATCCAGGGATATCTTACCACTGAGCCACATCCTCAGTCATTTTTATTTTCATTTTGAGACAGGATCTTGCTACGTAGCTTAAGATCTCATTAAGTTGTGGAGGTTGGGCATGGACTTCCTGTCTCAACCTCCCAAGTCGCTGGATCACGGGCACGTGTCACTACTCAGCTGTTTGTAGGCTATGTCAGTTACTCAAGAAAAAGAACTTCTATGAAGCTTCAGTAGAGAGTGTGATGAAATAACAACATGTTTTGCACCTAAAACGTATGAAACATAGGATTCTCATGTCAGACATTCTCAGCATAGGAGAATAAAGACAGACAATATGAATGAATAAAGTTCCAAAATTTTATTAATAATTTATAAAGGTTGTCTGTACCCAGGCCATTGAAGTTGATGTTGACAGGAGAAAGCAGCATTCAGGAATATAGAGAACAAGACAAAAAGAAACCATAACTGTAACGATGAAGGAGCAGTTGCATATACCTATGAAATTCTTCTGGAAAAATGTGTTCTTGTTTTCTTTAGATGAGAGGTAAACATCTTGGTCTCAGATTTTTCAGCCATGACAACACCTTGCCATCAAAGATATATTAAGCAGGCACAAGATGCACATGGCCTAAGGAAGAAGAGGACAGGAGTGGAGTGGTCTGCACTCCCTTGAGGTGATTCACATGCTGTTACAGGGGTGACTGTGAATTTCTGGTGACAGCTTGATGATCTTCAGCCAGGTAAGAAGAGAGTTCTTGCAGGAAAGGAAAGGCAGCTAACAGGAGTCTGTGCAAACCTTGGTCCTTAGGGGGTTGATCACGGGCAGCAAGGCTGGCAGCAGGTGTCCACACAGCAGCAGGGCTGGCAGCAGATGCTGCAGCAGCTGGGGCCACAGGTTGGTTTGCAGCAGGTAGTCCTGCAGCAGATGGTTTCACAGCAAGTTGGGGGACAGCAGGGCTGGCAGCAGGGAATGATGCAGCAGCTGGGGCAGCAGCAAGGCTCACAGCAGGGTGTGCTGCAGCAGCTGACCACAAAGGCTGGTTTGCAGCAGGTGGTTTTGCAGCAGGTGGTTTTACAGCAAGCTGGGGGACAGCAGCTGTCACAGGTGGTTTTAATACAGCAGCTGGGTGCACAGCAGCTGGGTGGACAGCAGGGTGTGCTGCAGCAGCTGGTGACACAGGCTGGTTTCCAGCAGGTGGTCTTGCAGCAGGTGGTCCTGCAGCAGGTAGGCTGGCAGCAAGGGGAAAAGCAGGAGCCGGCCATGGTGTGAGGTGTGGAGGGTGGGATCCTGTTCACAGGTGAGTGGGTTTGCACAATATGGTGACTCCTTGCCATTGGGCTCTTTTATCCTAGGGGCCTCCAAAGTTTGGGCCAATCAGCAGCCCTTCACCTTGTTGTTGTTTATGTTATTTTCCATATTCAGTTTATGTTTGTTAAGGAAGTTATACTGTAAATGTAATGAGTGTTGTGAAAGTGTTTAATCTGTTTCTTAAGAGGGCCTAACTCACAGGAACTGTTTCCAGATGAAAGGAAGACAGTCACCTCATTAGCATCTTTGGTGCTCTGAGCATCATTTGGGTCATGTGGTGGCTCCTGCTGCCCTGGGAGGGTCAGGGAAGTTGTTCCTCTGGAGATTTGTGTTTTGGGGCTGTATTCAGATTAGGGAGTGTCTATGGGAGGAGCTTCTGTATTCACAGAGATGAACAGAACACGTGTTTATCCAGAGCATCCTGACCAAAGACTCCTAGAGGCATCTGTCTCTGTCCCAGCTCTCCCACCTGTGTGTCCCAGGTGTATCCAAGGTACACCTTAAGAGGATGTTGGACACGTGGTTTTCCATAGCAGAGCAGAACCGGAATGTGAGAGCAGATGCAGCAGCAGTACATGGTGAAGAGCCAGGTATGATGGGTGTGTGGATGACCATCTGTCCTGTTATCCAGTCCTGAGGGCTCACCAGGATGAGCCTCTGGGACACTCTGCCACACTAGCCTTGCAGACTATGCCAGTCAGGATGAGCAGGTCACTGTGGTCCCCACCAGCATGCCAGCAGAGTCGGTGATTCTTGGGTCAGGGATCTTTCTGTTTTTCCTGTCTCTGCCTCTCTGTTTCTTTCTCCTCCCTTCTCATCTATCTATTGTTTTCTTGCCTTCTTTCTATTCCATGAGGAAATTATCTCAGGTGAGATGGTACCTAATTTTATCTGTGAGGAATCTTGTATTTAAAATGTTTTTACTTCTACCATTCCATCCAAAATAATGCATGTTATTACTTTCCCACTTGATATAATATCCTAATGTGAATGCATGCATGTCACTATTAGTGGGTTAGGAAACGGACATGAATTTTGTTCCCTACAAATCATATCCTCTCACTCATCCCCTAAGAGGGCAGATTCCTCTCTTGACTTGTCACCTTTTGGAGCAGTTTTGGCTTTCTTCAACTCTTAGGTTCTTCAGGATGGTAGAAGTATTGGATCTCCTTATGAGTGTGAGATTCATCAGTATAGTTATCTACAGTCTGTTCATTCTCAGTGCCGTAAAATTTCCACTGAGTGAAATTGACACAATTTATTTGTTGGTTGTCCTCTAGATGAGCATGTGGCTTTCTTTTAAAAATTTTCTTTATTGGTGTGTGGCTCATATAAATGTTTTTGCACAGAGCCTGTGGTCATGCAAATGATATTTCTGGTGGATGCAATCCTGGGCATAGAATTGTTCATACAATTCTCATATTGAAAGATTTATTCTTTTCTTTGTGGCTGAATTATCCATGTTCTCTCAATTTTTTTTTCTTCACCATTTTATTTTGGGGAGATTCACGCTGGTGGATTAGAGCTAGGCTACCTTTCCAGTTGCTTGCTGGGTCAAGATTCAAGCAGAGAACGTACTTCTTATTAGCCAGTTGGGTGGATGAAGGAATTCTTTGTAATTCACCACTGAACAGTCAGACTCAGAAATTCAGATGCATTGAACAATGAACTAGGAAGTGTGTAGCTGGTTGTGGTAACAGCACTGGTTTACTGCAGATAAAGTATGTGTGTGTGTGTGTGTGGGAGAGAGAGAGAGAGAGAGAGAGAGAGAGAGAGAGAGAGGAGAGAGAAGAGAAGAGAAGAGAAGAGAAGAGAAGAGAAGAGAAGAGAAGAGAGAGAGAGAGCAAGAGCGAGCAACATAGCAGGCAAATTTGGCACAGAAAAGCAACATGATGTTAGCTGATCCAGAGGCTGCACAGCCAACTGTGTTTGGAAGGTGCTCTGTGTTTCATAACTAGTAAATGGAGAGCTGAGGAAGGAGTCATCTTGAGGAGGCCACGCCGCAGCTTGCTTGTGCAGTAGCTCGGAAGACCATTGCAAACCTTGTGGTACAGTCCAGCCAAGCACCTACCACCTCTTTCCCTGGAGTCTGGTGGCTCATGTGAGCAGCTGAAGCTGAAAGGTAGGAGTGATCACTTTCAGGAATTCAGTCTGGGAAGGCTTGGGCAGCGGAATGCGTGAGAATTGGGGATGGTTGGCTCCCCTGCTCTGTGAATATTGTTATCAGGGGCTCCTGATATCCAGGTTCCCAGCATCGATCAGCATCTGCCCAGTTCTAGGGGTGTGTTGATCTAATCTCTCCAGAACAGATGTCTCCAAAAAATTCTCTAAAGCTTAATTAGAGCTAAGCCCCAGCCACGGGACCTCCCCACTTAGAGCTCTGTAGCAGCCTTGATCAGCAATGCTCTGATCAATGTGATGAAAAGTCTGGAGAACGTTCCAATGTTAGAACAACCTTGAGTTTATGAAAACAATTTAATGTGGTCATGATCACATGCATATGAGACACTGGATTTCACTCAGTTCTATTCTCAGCAGGATCTATTCTGATTGGCATTCTACAAATTTATTCTTCCGTTTTCACTGTGTTTCCTCCACCTTCTCTCATGAAGTGAGTTTCAAAGGAGCTGAGATTGCTACTCTCTTGACATAATTTGGCCTCAATGCAACTCCATGTCCCGCACTTCTGAAAGCTCTCTCCTGCCAGTAGATTGCACTATGTCAGTGCTCTGACAATGCCTGGGCAAAGAGATCTACAGTGTTGTTTTCATTTGGTGCACTAGGAAACTCCAAGCCTTCTTTTCTGAAGCACACACCATGGGGAGGAATTCTCAGGAGTCTCTTGAATACAAACTGGTAGTTTCATATCACCTGAACAAAGTTCAATCCATTTATTAAAAATGATAATTGCCATTTCTAGACCAAGATTGTGTCATTCTGCAGAATACGAATGAGGAAGTGTTGTAAGCCCTCAACTCAAATGATTGAAAGAGTAATTTACTTGCAGATTAAGCGAGTATTGGCTCAACCCACTGAAGAGAAGCAGGGGAGGTTGTCACTGGGAAACATAATCAGGAAGCTGGTGATACCAGTTTGTCTCATGTGAACACAGACTTTTCACTGGGCTTATATCTCAGTTGTGAATTTGGAGGCTCAAAGTATTGAAGCAGATAACACTAATGAATCTGAAAATGTAGCTGGACTTGTAAGGCATGTCATATCCTAAATGACTCTAAATGTTATGTCAAGGGAAAGTTTGCACAAAGAAATTGGGGACATCACATTTTGAGGTGACCACTCAGATGCCACAGGACATGCCACCAAGGGAGAGGAGATCATTCTTGGAATGTGGAACTTCAAAGTGACATTAGCAGGAGCAGAGTCCATTCATTGAGGGCAAAGAGAAAGATTGGCTTAAAGATTAGTAGCATTTCCCTAGCTTGGTTGAGGATTTTGTGAAAATAAATATTTCTTTTTAAAGACAGTGGGGTGGTCCACCATGGATGTTTGGAGGCATGACCATGACAGAAAGGAGAGATGGAAACATTGGCAGTGTCTAATTGAACATAGCACAGGGCAGGTACATTATTCTTTGATTTTGTAGTCCATTAGGCAAGACAAAGTGTTTTATCCCAATTGCATAAGATGTCAGTAAACAGAGGCATATCATCCTAACATTGCAATCATTGTAGTATTGGAATATTGTTTCTGGATATTCTACAAAGTACCGAATGCAGTAAGGGTTTTGACAAGGTTGGAGAGAAATTAGAAACCTGCAACAGGGGAGAGAATTTCTCATGATGCAGAAGCCATGGAAATTAGTGCAGAGTTTCTTGAAAGAATCAGCCATAGAAATACCATTCAATCTAGCAATCCTGCCTCCAGGTACTTAGGGGATGATAAATGGGATGATCAACTTGAAATGATATCAGCACTCTCATGTTCAAGGCAGTATTGTGAACAACTGTAAGGTGGGTGTGGAAGAAATCCTAACATCTTTTGGTGAAGGAATGGATAAAGAAAATATGGCAGAAACACACACTGGAATAATATTCAGGCTTAAAAAAGAAGGCAATCGTTCCTCATGTACTAATGTGGATGAACTTTAGCTCTCTCTCCCTTCAATGAACTAGACCAAATATAGAAGGACAAACAACATGACTCTACCTATATGAGGTATGTAAAATAGGTCAACTTAGATAAGAAAAAAATGGAGTGGTGGATTCCAGAGGCTGGAGTCGGTGGAAGTAGGGAGATGCCTGTCAATAGGTATGCCATTTCAATTATGCAAGATGAGCAACTTCCAGGGATTTGTGGTACAGATTGTATATAGTGACAACTTATCTTTCAGTTAAAAATCTATTAAGCATGTGATTCTCACATCAGGGGTTCTTAGTGTAGGAAAATAAAGACAGACATAATGGAATGAATATTTAGTATTTATTAAGAATTTCTGAAGGATGGTTGTACCCAGGGAGGAATCTAAAGGTGACAATGACAGGAGAACATAGAATACAGGAATCTGGAGAAGAATACCAAAGAAATGATAACTGTAAAGTAAAGGGACAGTGGCACACAGCTATGGAATTCTGAATATGTGTATTCCTGTGTTTCTTAGATGGAGAGCTAAAGTTCTTGTGTTTCTTAGATGGAGAGGTAAAGTTCTTGGTTTTATAATTTTAACCAAGATCACACTTCCCCATCAAGGATCGTGAAGCAGGGTCAAGATGCACAAGGCATAAGGAAGGAGAGGAAGAGATTAAAGAGTCTGCATTCTCTCAAGGTCATTCACAGGGTCTTATGTTGGAGCCAGTGAATAGAATTTCTGGTGCCAGTATGATAGTTTTCAGTGAAGGTTAAAAGAAACTTCCTGCAGGTTAGGAAGAGTTTATGCAGGCAAACTTTGTGGAGTTGATCATGGGCAGCAAGGCTGACAGAAGCTGCACATACAGCAGAAGGGCTGGCAGCAGGGTGTGCTGCAGCAGCGGGTCACATGGGATTTTTTGGAGCAGGTGGTCCTGCAACAAATGGTTTGAGAGCAAGTAGGAGGGCAGCAGGGCTGGCAGCAGGGAAAGATGCAGCAACTGGAGCAGCAGCAAGGCTCACAGCAGCTAGGTTTACAGCAGGGTGTGCTGCAGCAGCTGACCACACAGGTTGGTTTGCAGCAGGTGGTCTTGCAGCAGGTAGTTTCACAGCAAGTTGGGGGACAGCAAGGCTGGCAGCAGGTGGTCTTGCAGCAGGTGGTCCTGCAGCAGGTAGGCTTGCAGCAAGAGGAGCAGGCCATGGTTTGAGCTGTGGAGGGTGGGATCCTGTTCACAGGTGAGTGAGTTTGCACAATATGAGGACTACTTGAAAATCCGGCTCTTTTATCCCAGGAGCCTCCAAATTTTGAACCAATCATCAGCCCATTTCCTTCTAGTTGTTATTGTTATTTTCCGTATTTGGCTTGTGTTTGTCTACAAAAATTTGCTATGCAAATGTGATGAGTATTGTAAACGTGTTTAATCTGTTTCTTAAGAGCTTGTAACTCACAAGAACTGTTTCCAGATGAAAGGAAGGCAGTCACTTCATTAGCATCCTTGGTGCTTTGAGCATCATTTTGGTCATGTGGTGGCTCCTGGTGCCCTGGGGGGTCAGCTCTTGTTCTAGAATATTTTTGCTTTGTCTGTATTCAGATTAGGAAGTGTCTATGGGAGGAGCGTGATGCTGCTATATTCACAGTGAGGAAGCACACATGTGTTCATCCAGAGGATCCTGCCCCAAGGCTGGTTGAGGCCTCTGTCTCTGTACCAGGTCTTCCACATGTGGAAGAGGATGGTTGGCATGTGGTCTTCCATAGCAGAACAGGACCA